GTTAAAGTAAAATAATGAATATTTTTTTTTTTTTAATTCTATAGTTATTCTTTCTTATAAGAATGCACTAGCCTTATTAAACTTAACAGATAATCAAGTCTCTACTGTAGATCTCTTAGTAGACATCTCTATCACAATTGCAGTTACTAAGAACTTTTATAGTGTTTATGAAACATTACCTTATAAACTTAAGCCTATAAAGTCCAAGATTTTCTCAGTTCTTTTCCTTAATAATAAATTCAACTAAGTTTGAAATTATTAATAATTTATTTTTAAACCTTTTATAATTAATATAGGCTAAGTACTGTATTTTAATTGCTATTGACAGTGAAAAAAAACACAAACTAATCTTAAACTTATCTTACAAAGAAGAATTTATCATATTTATGCTTCATTAAAACATATGATTGAATGAAGTATTGTGTCTAAGATAAATTAGAATTTAACCAAGTATTATCAGGGTTGTCATATCACAATGTCTAATTGGTTTCAATTTTTTTGAACATATGTCAAAAAAAATTGAAACCAATTGGACATCATAACATTACAATCCTAAGTGCTATATTATGTTTGATTATTAGTAATATTATATATAGTATAGTCAATATTAAGTTATATCATTAATTATTTAGACAAAATGTTTACTAGATTTATTGTCATCTAATTTTGGGTTGAAAATTTTGATAGGCAAAGATGAAACTATTGATTAAACAGTATGTTTATAATTTATAATTTTATTTACATGACATTAGAAATAATTTATTCATTAATTTATACTCACATATACAGTATTAATTATGTGAGATATTGAAATGCAACATCATTAATAATGTGCAATAAATACATGTAATCATATATTATTCATATGAATCTTATAAATATAGTACCTTCTTTATTGACTTTGAAGCCTAGTTTGATTATGTTCTTATTACTGAAACTTCACTCATTTTAAACTTGATTTTAAACTTACAAAAAAAGCTAAAAAATCATAAAACTTTTAACTCTTAAGATTTAATTAGCTTATTCTCATAATAAATCATATTTACAGTATATAATTGACTCAAGTTAAGTTGTACAGTATAGGTTATAAATCTTCGTTATAGCGAGGTGCCCAAGACTATATAGATTCGTTATAATAAGGTACCTCAATGGATTGAAACCTTGATATATCGAACCAAACCCTTCAGCTCCTGAGCTTCGTTATATCGAGGTTATACTGTATATAGAAAACTTTCTATTACTTTAATAACAAATCTAAGAAGCTATTAAAAAAGATATGAAACAAACCATCAATAACATTCTTAACTATTACAAACCTTCTATTCATTTTTTAACATCAACTTTTCTGATAAATTAGTATGCAAAAAAATTTATAACACTTGTCCAAATTGTTGCATTTGGAAACTACACCACCTGTATAATACGTATTTTATTTTAAGCCAACAAGAGGATTGTTATATCCTCAGATTGTATTGTTAGGCATAAATGCCAAAATTAACTTTAAAAATAATATAGATATAATAGGCAGATTTTGTCTAAACTTGAGATTTCTTGCACGTAAAACACGAAGATTGTTAAATTGAACTTTGAGTAATACTAAAAATTTAATATTTATGATAACCAAATTTAAACGTTCATTATACTGTTAATACAAAACTTTATGAATAATTAAGCAAGCATCACATAAAATTTTTATTATACTAACATTGAAGAGATTTTTGATTAGCGATGAGAACAAACTATCTGGGACGTCCTAAACTATGTAATGGATAATATCACACAGTTTCGAAAAATAATATAACATAATAAATATCTAATATGATACTATTCATCACATAGTTTGGGATGTCTTGGTCTACATCCCTATTTTCTGATTGTCTATCGATTTCTATTAATTAAGTAACGTAACCTATGACGGTATATGTTTTAAAAGATTAGCACCAGCTTATTACTATGCAGGACTTCAAATAACAAGATCTGTAATGAATAGTAAAATTAATTAACCGTTTAAATTGTTGGGACAAATTATGCTGGTCACGAATAAAGTTTATTTTTAATGCTTACTAAAATAAACAGTTAACACGATCAAATGGTTAAACGATTGTGGAAATCTGAAATGATTCCAATCTACAATTAGTGATAAACCCTTGGATCGATTGGTTAAGTAGTTCTAATCAATATTGACCATTAAGTAATACAATTAGTATTTAGAGCTTACAAATTATAAAATTGCGTGTAACATTTCTTAAATTAATTCTTGTTGGTTTTCGAAAATGTTTTTATTTGAAATCTCTATTTGATAATCTGTCAGAATTAGAAACGGACTGATAAAACGGATATAAACATTATCGGTTACGGATGCAAATTCAATTTGAATCCAGATGTAAATAAAGCCACTTGCTGGTTTATGTATAAGTCTATTTTTAATTGTGGAACAAGTATTTGTGGGATTTATTTTTTTTTTTTTTTTTGGTGCTTGTCTAGCAATTCAATCCAGAATTAATATACCGTTAAACTTACTAGATTGTATGTTTCCTTATAAGTTATTATTTATTACCTAGCCCTAATTATTGGTAACGCAAAAGAAAGTTGTTACATAGTTTGAAATGGGAAATCCAAATTTAGAAGGTTTGTTTAGTTACACGGCCGCTTTAGAATATCTATAAACAGTTATATATACAAAATTAAGATATTCCTAATATGGAGATGAGGCTAAGGTCGCATATTGTTCAGTCAGATTGTTAGAAACACAAGATAAAAGAAAGTAAATCGCGTTATTGATTTGCAATGCAAGGTAAATGGAGGGAAAAATGAGCGAACGAGAATCTATTATTTTTCGTGATTGAACAATATTGCACATTAAGTTTTAAGCTTCCTCAAACTTCCATCAGACTTACCACATAATGTTATTTCTTTCACCATAATTGAATTAGGCTTGGTACAAAATCCCGGAACTCACAATCCCCATAATCCAGACAGACAAACTCTTGAAATACTAAAATCTTGACAAATACAAAATCCCGACAAGTAGAAAATCCCAACAGTTTAAAATCCTGAAAATTCAAAATCCTGACTAGTAACCCTAATATTTTGCACTTTGACACTTAAAATTTATATCAAATTTTGTACTGTCGTGATTTTTTACTTGATAGGGTTTTGGTATTTCAAGACTTAATCTGTCGGGATTATGCACCATCTCAAGATTTTATCTTATGCCATCGGGATTTTGAACATCGAGACTTTGTATGGCTCCCAATTAAATCATAATTAAGCTCGTATATAATTAGGATTATTCTGAATTGTAAAATTATATGGTTTTTTAAAATTATGTTTAGCTTGTCAGATCTAATCGACTATATATGATATGTGGGACTTTTGCCTACCTTATGAGACACAGTAATCATGTCGATACTATCACTATCAAAAACTTGATGTTTAATACGAGAACCTTATGGAATCAAATTTAAGTACTATACCGATATCGATATTTCATCTATCAAAATTTTATGTGTTGAATCCGGTAAATTCTAAACTCAAAGCTCAAGATCTTATTTCCTTCTTAATGTTAATGTGTTAGTCTAATGATGCTAGAAAAGTGGTACAAATCTAATAAAAGGCTGAAAGAATTAAATCCAATAAACGCATAATCTCGCAAAACTAAAAAAAAAAAACATCAAAAGCATGAAGCCTTTTCCTAATCATTGTTCTTACACCAAAAAAGTTGTGTCCTTTGTAACATTGAACAATCAAATTTAACTCCAGGATTAAAATTAGAATGTTTATAATTAGTAATGTTGGTTCAACGAATATTTTTAGTTAGAAAGAAATTAATGAATATTAGCAACTTCTATTACGTACTGTACATGTGGAAACCGCAGGAAATCCGCAGTTGGATACGAATATGTCTAAGGAAGGAAATGATAAGAATTGACAAAAAATTTGACAAAGAATTTTCACATCATCTTGGGAATATTCTTATGTAATATGGAATTATACTGAATATTCATTTATGTTCTATAAAATTCCATTTAAACTTGGCATATTTAGTATTACATTTTTCCATAGTACATGGAGTACAATTCCTTTAAATGACCAAAGGAGCCCATCTAAATAAGGTATTAAAGATCTGCTTAAAGTCAGTCTTATAAGTAGAATAATCTTCTATTTTTGAGTGACCATTTCAACCGTTACGCCAATAAAGCCTTTCGAAATCCCATCATAATAGTTGACATCGATCATTGGGTGTATTGTATAAGTCATTAAATGAATGTTTTTAAGAATTCTAGAAAATTGGACTCAAATGTTTCCTTTTTATTTGTAAAAATAATGCTTTACCAGATGATTCTAAATGCTAGTTTGTACCACATGCATTATACTTTCCGAAAAGTATTATTCACATCATCACATGCACATAAATGGTGCTTATTTCATTATATTTCATAAATTATTGTGTAATGTTTATTTGCGTTGTGTTATTACCAAATATTGATAACTCTTATTTTTCCGATTTACTGATTTAAAACTTTATCAAGAAATCATCAAATTTTATCTAACAGGTAAAAAAAAAAAATCCCATTATTAAAATAAAATAAAAAAGTCCAATGATGAAATCTTGGCATGCTTTATATGTCAAGTCTAATGATGTAATCTTATCATGCTTTATATGCAAATGTATATAATTAAACAATGAATTTTAAACCATGTGCATTATAGTTGTTCTAAAAAAATCACTAAGTTTGTAATGTTTCATTATCCCATCTTAAATGGAAGTACTAAGGTTCTCGCGGGATAATTTGCATTAAATTTCATGAATCATGAATTCTTTCATTATAATATGTTCGGGGTTATTTCACCGATACTCTTTAAAAAAATTTATAAAAAGGCCAAATGTTAAATTATCAAACTTCACCAAAAGATATCAATCAAATTTTGAAATTTGTCTAATTCGAAAATTCAATAAAAATATTAACTAAATTTTGAGATTTGTTTTAAGCATCAATATGCATATGCGTATGCGTCCACCCGTCAAAGACGTTCTCGAGCTCTTTGGTCCCAGCATCGAAAAAGATGTCAAGAAACCCATTCTGGAGGAATGTGATTCGGCTGATCCCGAATTATATGTTAATCCAACAATGAAAGATGGCCATGTGCTTAGGCAACTGAATTGTTGGATGATATTTAAAAAAGATTTTCACAAAAAAATGACTGATACTGGTCTTTATGGTGAAATTTGCCATGCCTTTAACATCCCGGGCAAGGAACGTGTACACATGGTTGGAGAACTAGTGAACGAATATTGGACGCGTATGACAGAACTTGAGCGAGCTCCATTTAAAAAACTTGCCGATAGGGTAAAAGAAAGAATGAGTTCAAGATTTCCAAATCATCGTCTCCGTAGAAAAAAAAGAAAACCCAAACTTGATGAAATGTTTAGACCTTACCTTCTGAGAAGCGATAAAAAAAAAAAATCTCATCCAAAGAAACAGCAAACTCCAGTAGATCACAAAATGCAAGATGAAAATCATTATTTGTTTGGTGATCCTTATAGTGCATACGTAAACCCCTTTATTAGTGTTAGTGAATTTTTTTTTGTTTAAGTGATACCTAAACTTGTATTTCTTATTTCTTATTTCTTATTTCTTTATGTTATAAAATATATATATTAGTTGTTTAAAATCAAATAAACCTATGATATATTTCTGATTTTAATACGTATAAAGTTACGTATTAATCATTTATTTAAGACTAACTCCATCTTCTATATTTAAGATAATGTAGGATAACTTGAGATCACGTGATAAGATATTCGGTATGAAATATATAAGATATGAATTTTGGTTAGATTTTCTAACTTTACAAAGTTGTTTGTTATAGAAATGATTTATAATAATTTCGATTGTATGTTTCATGATTTTGTAAGATACTCGTTTAAAAATAAATCAATAAATAGTGTTATGGCTAATGTTATACTGATTATAGACATTTGGCCAAAAGTTCTTCATAGTATAATTTGTTGTTCGAAACATAGTTTAATTTATAACTAAGCTACGTATAAACCAAATTTAAGCTAGCAAGCCATAGTTAGCCATGAACTTAAGGCAACATATGTTAATTATTGTGCAATGCAGTTATTTATTAATCTAACGATTATTATGAATCACAGGTAAAAAACTTAATTTTTAACTAAATAATAACCAGTAATTTTTGGTACAAATTATAACTTATTTACTATATATTTACTAGGTAATATATGTAGTTTAGTTAATATATCTAAATGCATATATTACCTAGTGAATATATAGTAAATAAGTTATAATTTGTACCAGAAATTACTAGTTATTATTTAGTTAAAAATTGATTTTTTTACCTGTGAATCGCACCATATAATCGGTTATTATAATTTTGTTGTTAATAGGGTTAATAGAGTAGCTTTGAATTTTTCTATGTCCTTTATGTTTGTTGCTTGTAGAATATTTTTGAGTGTAGAAGGAAGCTGTTCGTCTTTTGAGGCTTTGAGAAATTTGTACGTGGGAAAATTAGGATAAAATTGGAGGTTATAGACTAAAAATTAAAGCTAAAAATAAAGTTTAAGTAAGGTTTTTGGGATGCTAAACATTTTTTTACTTAATATATCTGATCTTGGTCATTTAGACAATTTTTTAGAGATAGCAACTGTGGTGTTTAAACATCACTGATGTGATCTAACAATAAAGTAATTTAATATACAGTATATTGTAATTCATCATTAATATAATTGGAATGATCGAAACGGCTAGCTATGGTTAGTCATGGTTAAAGTTTGCTTTAGGTTAGCTTCAAATTATGTTTAAGCTGTTGTAAATGGAGCAATTATATTTCTATGTCAAGGTTATGATAATCAGAAAATTCAAAATTAGCATTTCTCAAAAATCACTTATTTTCAAAAGTTTGTACAAGAAAATATTGTGATCTAACTAAAAGTTTTCTCGACCAATTTACTATACTAACTCTAACCGAAATATGAGCTATTATCATTAACCTAAACAAATTTAAAGATATGCCGCACGATATCACGTGATAGTAACTTTTAACGGCGCACTAGGAAGGTCATGAACAGACATCTGGTGATTATTCATCTATGTAAAGTTAGGCAAATTATTTCAATTATTTCAAAGATTCGCAATATTTGCAATGATTATTACACATTCAGCATTAGTGATAATATTTTTAAAGTAGTCATTCGACGTTTAATCGTGAATCATACATGTCATTGTGTAATTGTCTTGAAAATCGTGATGCCAATCATGTTGATCAGCATTAGCCTTTTAAGGATATCGATATCTAAAGCCATTTATTTGTTATGATGAATCACGTGAAAATATTAAATGATAAATATTAAAGTAGGTTAAATACTACAAGAATTTAGACTATCCCTTTTAGGTTATGCTATTATTTTTATTAGTTCCATAAATAATAATGTATTATTTACTTAATTTAGTCATTATTAACTAACAATGCCACGATCTGGTGAACAAAGAGCTGAATAGTCTTGCGGAGATTGATGGATAGGCGTAGTGCTTCAGCAATGTATTACGCGAATAAATGCGTGTTAACCTCAAATCGACGATAACATAATAAAACCGCATTCCATATTAATATTCAAATAATAACGTCAATTTCCTATAGCAAAATGCCACGACCAAATATAGCACACAAGAATTCTAGAATTAAATTTCTATTTTCATGCTAAAAACATCTAAAGTATAACTTGCAGATATATGCAATTTTGATATCCAGTAAGACCTTAGCATCTGGTTTTAAACAAAAATTATTCTATTTCCGTTGAATACTTACAAAATTAATTGAAAGTAGACATATTTAGTGTATATCAAAAGGGTATCCTTAATGATCGCCTTATTTTCATGAAAATGTGGTAGGCTATTTGAAATGAGAAAGTAATCGGCTAAAACATGATTAACTATGAATATTATGACAAACGAAGACAAAAAGGACAGAGACAATAAATTATTAAAAATGCTTTAAATTTTATAATTCTGATAAATTGATTTTTTCTTAGAGAGTCAACCCTTTATGCTTTTTTGATATTTTGTTTATATTACCCGTGGGATTACCTTAACCTAAGGGTTTTAAAGTGATAAATGATTGAAGATTATGTTAATGTAAGCATTACACGATTATGCTATCTATGCTTTGTTAAACGTTGATTTTTACTTAATTTGTCTAAGCATATTAACAAGTTACTAAATTGATATCTCAATCGGTTAAAATCGGAATGTAGATCAATGTAGATCGAGAACACAGACGCGCGAAAAAAAATTCAATCACAAATATCAAAACTTTAATTTATCTTTCTGACAGTAATTTTTTTATATTATTCTTTCTTTTTTTTACAATCTAAATTAAAAAAAAAAAAAATCAAATACATACGAAACTAAATGTTACATTTTACAATTTGTAAAGCTATATAACCATCAACACTGTTGTTTTTTGTAAAATTCAGCGAGAAACTCTAATTTTCCAAAACATTAAAATACGATAGAATTCCACTGTTGAATATTTATGGTGGCACTAATTCTTAAAGATGAAATAATATATTGTTACTTTTAATCATTTATTTATTGAATATTTAAAACGTATTTAAGTAATCATTGGTCCCCGAATATTTACATTTTACTTACTGTAATTATATAAAAACTTATACAAACGTGAATATATGAACACAACGGCTAAATTGTTGCATAGATTCGCCTGATTATTAATGTTATATAGTGATAAATTCGAATGTATGTTTACGTACCCAGTACTTTGTACTTCCAAACAAAACTTACCAAAATTAAAATATAAACTATTCTTAAAAAATCAATTCCCCACTTCTTTATTTTTAAAATCCCTTTAAAGAAAAAAAAAAATGAGTGAACATGTATCTTTCGGACACCAATGGTACAACAAACTTTGTTCAAAGGATAAACAATATCCGAGCAATGATGAATATCAACTTATCTTTCAATTTGATAGGGATAAGTTGTTTTATTCCCCGAAGTACACAGGTGAATTTCTATTCCGGAAATTTTATTATTCAAAAAAACCATCAAAACCATCAAGACCACCGAATGCCTTTTTTACGTTTAGAACCGTGCTTGGTTTGGTGGCGAAAGATATGTGTATCTCCGTAGGCGATGGAATAACATTTAGTAGATTGGCCGGCTTTATGTGGGGTGGCGCTAATGATAACGAAAAAAACATATATCATTCATTCTCTGAAGAAATTAAAAAATTACATGATGCCAAATATCCTGATTATAAATACAGGCCTGAACGCAGCAATTCAGCTCGGTACAATTTTTCAAATAAAACCGCTAAAGATTATGAACAAGTACAAGATAATACATACACACCTTTGATCGAATCGAACATTTTACGGCCATCAACCTCCATTCCATCTATTGCTGTAAATTGTCCCCAAATGGCGGAATATGATCCAAACATGTCTCAATCCGTTCGTCCACCTGAATATTTAAGCATAAATGGGGACCTATCACCTCCTTCTCTACACATGTTAGAGGGTGTCCATAATATCATGGCTTATAAAGGAATCTTTAAGTTTTAAGTTTCCTATCGTTTACTCGTAAAAAGTTGGATTTCTCCAAGAATCTAGTTATTTTTTGTCACGTTTTTTCATATACTATCATATCACAAAAAAAAAAAGAAAAGAAAAAGGTATAAAAAACGCGCTATTTACAAAATTCGTTCTATCATTCAACTTTTTTTTTTGAAATCATGAGTTCATCAATTGTTTCACATTCATTCACTTTACATTTTAAATTTCCCCTTTCATTTATAATTAAATTAAATTATTAAGTTCATAACATGACGATAAGCATATATGGTTAAAAAATAAGAAATACAACATAAGAATCATTAATTATACGATATATCTAAATGTAAATATTTTCGGAAATTATCAAGCATTTGCAGTACAAATAACGCAACATTAGTTATTTGTTGAGTCAAAAGGCCAAGATAATTAATTTTTATGCTAAGACGCTTAATTTAGTATTATACTTAACAATGCAATTCTGTATTTTCTCAAATTAAAAATTTAACATATACAATTTTATTTATTAGTTATAAGAATAAATCTGTACTTGCACTTTATTTATATATTACCAACATTATATTAAACCTTTATATGTGTAATAAAAATGCGAATAACTATATATATTTGCTACTATTAACCCGAAAAACTTATACGTAGTGCTTTGTTCTTTTTATTAAGGCTAATTAGGTTTTTTTAAGCTTTTAAATCTAATACGTGATAAGTCTTTTTTTATAATTAAATCAAGAAATGGCTTCCGCGCCGTTCCAGATGGTATTTTGATTTTTTTAGTGTTATATGGCACACTTATACTATACATGAGTTGAGCAATAGTTTACAAATAAAACAATAAGCATTTTTTATTAGATATAAAAAATGTTTTCTGTTTTTAAAATATATAATTATTCCGTCCGAAATTAAGCACTCCTTTGTTGCATGTGGTGTAGACCAAAATTATCATAATGCAGAAAATTTTGCATAGTGCAGGCCAGGGGTGCTTAATTTGGAATGGTCGGTATTCAATAAATATGTTATATATTAGATTAAAAAACTAAATACAGTATATTAATTTATTATAATTAAATATAAATTTTTACAATAAAAAAATAGAATAGATTAAATAGTTTTATATTAAAACAATAAATGTTAGTAAATTGTTTTTAGTAAAATTTTTAAACTTTTGAATTAAAATATTTTAGCTCTTAAATCAAGATTAATAAATTTTTTATTTTAATTCTATAACTATATAGAATTAAAATAAAAATTTTATCAAGTTTAGTTTAATAGTTAAAGTATTTAATCCAAAGCTAAAAAATTTTACTTAAAAATAATTTGCTTAATATTTTCCAAATATTAATTTTAAGTTATAAATATTATATAATAGAATTTATTTAGAATTAAATAATAGTAAATTTTATTAATAATTATTTATAAAAATAATTTATTTAATATTTGAATAAGCTATTTATCATTTTTAAGTACTAACTAATCTTTAATTATTACTACTTCTGATAATTCTAACTTAAACTTCAATAACTCTAGCAATTTTATCCAATTTAATAGTACTTTAACAAATCTTTTTATCAATCTTATTCTAGTATTCTTAAACTAAAATCTAATCTTATATATAACTGGTTTGCAAATTTTCTTTATTATTAAAAAAATACAATCTAATATATAATTACAAATTTAATTCTTTTTTCAACCTTTTATTTTTCTTAAAAAATTTTTTACAATTTTTATTTATAAAAAGATTAAATTTGTTACTTCTATTTAACCTATATTTAAACTTTTATTTTACTATATTATTTATATTATAATTAAACAATAGCTCAAATTTCTAACTGATTTTATCTACAATAATAATTTTAATTAACAAAAATATTATTATTTCTTTTAATTTTCTTGAATCTATTTTCAAAAATCTTAATCTCAAATTTATAACTATTCTTTTTACTAACTAAACTATTTTAAAATTTTTATTTTTTAGTTATTATCTCTTTATATACTACTTATAATTATCTTTAAATTTGTCTTAATATTATATATTTTCATATTTTTTATTAATTATTAAAATTTTATTAAAGCTTTACAACTTAGATTTAAAAGATTTAAAATTGAATCTTTTATTCAAACTACTAATCTTGAACAAAAATATCTTATTATTTAATTGAATATTAGATTTAATATTAATCTTTTCTTTAATATTTCTAAAATATTTTTTTTTAAAAAATTTTGTATTTATTTACTTAAAAACTCTCTTGATTATTTTAATTCTTAGTTTGAAACTTATTACTCTTCTTATAATTAATAATTCTCTTCTAATATTAATAAAAAGAAAATTTATATTTTTATTTAAAATCTAATTCTATCAATATTTTATAAGACAAAAAAGTAAATAAAAATTAATAAAAATTAAATAATAAAAAAAATCTCTACTCTATATTTATAAATATAGTAAAATAATAATAATATAATAACAAAATAATAGTAAAATAATAAGACATTTGCAATATTAGTAACTTAATAACAATATATTAGCAAATTAATAAAACTATTCTATTATTTTATTTTTAATCTTTATTACTAAAAGTAAAATAATAGAAATATTTTATTATTTTATTAATATGTTACTATTATGTTACTAATATCAATAAATAACTTTTATTTTACTATTATTCTACTATCATATTGCTGTTATGCTGCTATTATTTGGTAAATATAAAATAGAATAATAATAATTTTTTTATTATTATTTAATCTTTATTAATCTTTATTTATTTTTTTTAATCTATATTTATTTTTTAATTCTTTAAACACTTTTTGAAATTTATATATTTCAAAAACTTAACTTATTCTATAAATAATATAAAGAATCATTTTTGATTACTAAATTTATTGTATTATCTATAATAACAAACTATACTAATATCTTAATGATAAAAAATTTTATAACAGCACCAAGCTTTTCAATAATATTTTAAACAAATTTTACTTAACATTTTCTATTTAGAATAATAAAATATAAATGTATACAACTTTTAATATTACACTATTTTATAAAATAAAAAACATATTATTTTACTCAATAAATCTATTTCTACTAAAGTACTAAACAAGCTGACTAATTAAGCAAAAAACTTTGTTTTTAAATAAAATAAAGTTAAAACTAATTTTAAAAATTGTAACAAATATTTTTATTAGTATCTTTCTCTTTATTATTATTATTGTTTTTTTTTTTGTTTTTTTTTAAAATAAGGTTTTGTTTATATCTTTATTGATTTGTTAAAGAAGCCTTCAGAGGCTTCTCTGAATATAAATTACAAAACTTATTCTAATTACAAATATATTACAAGAATAAAGCTTAGACTATAAACAGATTTCTATCTAATTTATCTGCAACCTAAACCTACTAGAGTAGTTAAAACTCATCTAGATTTAATAATATAAGATATTGTTTGTAGGATAGCTATATAGTATCATACAGACCAAAGGCCAATTTTACAAAGTGTATTTTTTAGTATTTACAAAGTGTATTTTTTAGTAGTAGGCAGTTATTATCTTCTGTATAGAGTTGATTAGACAAACTATACAGTTGGCAGACTGTATAGTATAGGTTATAATATTGATTAAAGTAGTTATAAAATCTTTTATAAGTTGTAAATCTGTTATTTGGTATAATGTTGTTGTCTTTTTTCTATTATGCTAATTTAGTAGCATATGGTTTTTATATGTGATTATATATTTTTTGTGATATTTTGGCAAGCAGTTTGGTAGTTATTAGAGTTGCAGTTTGATGAGATGTAGTATAGAGTCTAATTGTAGTAATTAGATCTGTTTGCATATATCCTTATAGTGTTGTATATATGTTGCTTTGTTCTTGATAAGCATTGTTGACTGATAGACTGTCATATTGAGTTAGTGAATAGTATAATTGTTGTAATTGTAATTGTGTAATTTTTAGCAATGAGTTATTGTTAATAATTTCAGAAATTGTTTCTATAATAATACTAGTGAAATTTGTTAGGTTAGAGCACAGTAGCCAATGCAGTAAGTGTTCTGGTGCTTGGCAAGTAATGCAGTTGTTGTACTAAAAGCTGTTTGAATATAGTTCATGAAGATGGTGTAGTGTTAATAAGATATTAAGTAGTGTTTTGATCTTAAATGGTTTGCTTTGATTAAGTGAAAAGTTGATATAGTTATTCATTCATTTAGTATTGTTGTTAAGATATAACTATGTTGTGGTGTTGTGATAACCACATAGCAATTATATATGCATTACAGATGTTTTTGATGGCTCATCTAGTTAGTTGTTCAATTATGTATTTTTTATATTTTAAAGTATATGAGGTGTTATATAGATTATTATATATGAAGTCAAAATATGCAGTAGAGTTGTGGTTTGTTTCTAGCTTATCAGCTTCATTGTTAAATGTATTGTTACTATATGCAGATGCTTTGTAAAAGATAACTGTATATTGATATAATTGAATTAGGTTAAATAGTAAATGCCAAATAGACCAGTATGAATAGAAGTATTATTTGTGTATTGAAATTAGATAACTGGTAATTTTGCTGAATTTTGCAATAATTAATTAGGAGTCTGTATAAATTTGTATGTTGCTGTTGCATGAGCATGTATAAATAGCAGATAGTATTGCTATAAGTTCTGTTTTGTAGCATGATGGCCAGAGTTTAATACAGGAAAAGTATGATTAAAGTGTTGTATTATTGTGAATTTGTACCTATCCAATGTTGATAGAGCATCTGTTGATAGTAAGATCAGTAACTGATCTATTTATATAAAATATAAAGTTAGTATACCTCTTATTAAGGTTAGCAATTTTCTGAAGTTTAATAAAAGAAGAATTGACTTTAAATAGGTTAAATATAGATGTATTAGTAAGTGTAATAGTAGATAATGATGGGATTAATAGAGGTAATCATAAAGCAATAGAATAAATAAGGTCTAGATAGTTTGCATTTAAGTTAAGTTTGTTTGTATTGTTGTG